AATTTCATGACTGCACTCAAATGGCTGTCCCATTTTAAAAAGTATTACATTTGCTTATCAAATGAGTTTGATATAATCGCGCAGTTATACAGAGTGATTGGAGTAAGACCTGCAAAACTTTAAGAGCCACTTTGTATGGAACAGCTCCTAAAAATTCAATTGAAACTGAAAGCCGAAAAACTAAAGAAAGTAATTGGCTACTTCGTTAATGAAAACGGCAGATCCCTGATTTTTCATGCAAAACTTGTTTTTAAAGTTATTGAAAAAATCTTTGCACTTTAAGGATGTAGGTTGTAAATTATACGAAGGGCTAGTGGTTCGGTATAATTTATCTGTCCCTAAATACGCATACATTATTCGTTTTCATACGCTAGCAACAACCACCCCAGAAGTCATTCTTTAACCTGAAAAGATGCCTGTACTCGTATCGTTTCGAGAAAAATTCATATATCCTTTTCAAGAGAAACCCACATATTTCTCTACCCCGCCCAACCCTTGCGCTCTTTCTGTCGCTGCATGCGTCCGACGTCCATATTTCGGTATTTATGTGGATTTATTCAGAACACAATGCAAAACCCCCGTGTTAGACAAATGCCGCGAATATACGAGAACATATTTCCTTGTATATCACTAAATTCTTCAGTGGACGAAGCAGACATAAGTTCCGAGCCGGATAAATTGGAAGATGAAGTAAAAAGCACTACTCTCATAAATATGTAGAATACCGGGGGATAATATCGTACGTGAGGTACAATACAGAGCGTAGAGTCATTGGCCATGCATACCGCACTTGTATTGTCCGACCTTAACCCACATGCTTTAAAACATCCCAGTGACTGCGCCACCTATAGTGGATGGTTTGAAGTGCGGCGACACCACCGGCATCCGTGGAGCTGCAAACGACATTTCAAATGAATTTCACAACTATTTTATTTTTCAAACCGGTGTTGGAGGCGACAGTTACAACGTTTCACGGCTTTTAGGAAGAATATTTCAGAGTGTCGCGGAATGCTAAAGTACGTTCATTATGTCGGCGGGCGGGAATTAGATGGGAGCACGTGCGGTGTGGAAACGTCCATAATACGTTCCACTATTTGAAAACAAAATGGAAGTTGCCGAGGGCAAGGACAAAAAGTATTGGATATTGACATGTACAGAGTTATTTGTAATATAATAGGTAGAGAGCGGATTTCTAGGTTTAATGCTTTTTGTGAAAAATGTAAGCACTACAAAACTTTTTTATATCTGTAATTATGAGACAATTTGGAGTCATTTGACACATTTTTTTTATGCTTATTTGCTTTTTTTTCAATTTTATGTATATTAAAACTTATATGCTTATTTAATGCTTTTTTCGACGAATATGAGTTTTAATGCATATTTTGTTCAAATGCCGACCTTGTCGGGATGATAAATACTTGTTAGTTAGGCGTATCGTATCGTATGCATTTTACCTGGACTTGACCATTGAAGGACCGTTTCTGTGAATAGGTTCCGGTCGTTTGGGTAATAAAATTTTATTATAGGATTGGAAAAATACTCCATAGATTTTATAACTTTAAATCCTTATTTCCGTTGATAATGACTTAAAGTTTTTAACCAGATGTTCTTTTTCGGCATTTTGCGGCAAGACCGTTGAAGATTTTCTAGAAAAAAGGATTATTGTACCCAACTACCTACCTTAAAATTTTTCTAATGGAAACTTTTAAGTAAATGAACCGTTTATTTCACAACCATCAGTCTATCGCATCTGTCGTAGTACAGTGTTGCACGTGGTTCTCCCTTGTTACATGTTGAGTTCTTTTTGGTAAGATTTTAAAAGAATGCCGAAAGTAAAATCGACGCCGGATGAGTGGATAAGGGATTTTCCAGAATTAAAATTAGAAAACAACAAAATATTCTGCAGAGTTTGTGTGAAAACCGTAAGCCCACTAATTTTTTTTTTATCTATTTTCCTTTGTTAATCCTGTATATGTACGTTGTTTTAGATTCAAAGTGATAAAAAATATAACGTGACGCAACATGTCAGAACTACTCTTCATGTAGAAAGGAAGAAAATGTTTGAAGTTTCTAAAATTAAACAGCAGACATACATGAATCTGTTGCATCTACTTACACAAAAGATGAGCAGTTTCAGTTTAATTTCGATTTATGTAAAATGATGATCCAGTCCAATATACCTTTAAAAAAATTGGACTCTCTTCAAGAATTCCTTGAAAAAGAGTGCAATCGACATATTCCGGTTGAAAGTGCTCTCCGAAAAAATTATGTAGGCCCAGTGTTTCAGCAAGTTTACAACGAAATTAAACATCCCATTGGAGATAATTATTTATGGTTCGCTGTCGATGAAACAACCGATAGTTGTGGAAGATACGTGGCAAGTTTAATTGTTGGAATCTTAAATGAAAATTTCCCTAGTCGAGGGTATGTAGTAAGTTTGAAAATGTTAGATAAAACAAATGGCAATACGATTATCAGATTTGTAAATGACAGTCTTACGTCACTATTTTTGCCAAATGCCGTACCGGCGAATAAAATTTAATTGATGATCTCGGATGCAGCTCGTTATATGTTGAAAGGAGGGAATAATCTAAAAATATTGTACCCCAATTTAATTCACTCTACTTGCATTGCCCACGGTTTAAACAAAGTGGCTGAAGGAATACGTTTGCAGTTTCCTACTGTTAATAAATTAGTGGCAAATGGTAAAAAGATTTTTGTTAAAGCCCCACTAAGAGTGCAACATTTTAAGGAAAAATTTCCAAACATACCATTGCCCCCAGAGCCGATTATAACGAGGTGGGGAACATGGTTACAGGCCACATTTTATTATGACAAATATATCAAAGAATTTGAGGAAGTAGTTACGAAGTTTAGCGAAGATTCTTCTCAATCGATTAAAGATTTCATAAATATTTTGGAAAACAAAGATTTGCGACAAGATCTTGCTTTTCTAAGAAGCAATTATCAATTCGTATGTGAGGTAATAGAAAAGTTAGAAAAACCCAACATGTTGTTGGTAGATGCCATAAACTTTTTTTAAACAACAAGCAAACGCAGTAAGGGGTGATATTGGTACTAGAGTATCTCAAAAACTTGACGAAGTGTTAAATAAAAATGCAGGTTTCGGTGTTATTTCCGACGTTGCTCGTGTTTTACAAGGCCAGAAGGTGGAAAATATGGAGTTAGATTCAACATTAGTTGCAAAATTCAAATTTGCGCCAACAACGAGTGTGGATGTTGAACGCACATTCTCCAATTTTAAACACATTTTAAATGATCGGCGAAAAAATTTTACAGTGGACAACTTGGAATATATTACAATCATAAATTGTTTTAAAGAAAACTGAAATACGTGTGTAAAATATAAAGTCTAGGATTATTGTAATAATATTTTATCCAAAGTTCTAAGAAGTGTTCTTTGATTTGTAATATGATTATGTTTTTAATGCTTTTTTGCTAAAAATAAAACTTTTTTAATGAAAGTGTTATGCTTATTTAATGCTTTTTTGCTTAAAATAATAGTTATTTATGTATTAAGGGCATAATCAGGGAGATTGTGGCACGAGGGAATGTTTAAAGCCCGACGAAGGAGGGCTTTTAATTTCCTGAGTGCCACAATCGACAATTATGCACGTGGTACATACAACGTTTTATTCTATTTTAGTTTATAAACTATTTTTAACGAAATATTGAGTATTTTCGGCAAGACTGTGTGAATTGTGCCGATGCGAATTTTAATACATAGCTGGCTATTATTTTGATGTTGTTATGGATACCACGTTGATTATTTGATAATTCGTTTTTCAAAATGTAAATTAAAGAAGCGGAAAACGTTTATTCAAACGAAAGTTTAGAAGAATTTGAAGTCGGTCAGGTAATGATTTGATAAAATATTGTTTTTCCAACTTAAGAAAAACGTTGAATATCGAAGCGTGTTTGAATAATTAATTGATTAGAGTAAATGAACAATCAATTGTTGCTTAGCAATTTTTGACAGATTTGTGCTAAAAAGGCCAATTTAAGCCCGCATTTGGGTGCTTATAAATAAGATTATGGTTCTAAAATAGAATAAAACTTTTTTATTGAAAATGTTGTGCTAATTTAAGCGTTGATTCTTAATTTTTTTGTGTTTATAAATCCGCTCTCTAATAATAATAGGAGTATGTTTTTTTTTTATAAGTTTCCATGCATAAGCGAATTAAAATATAAAAACATAACAAACAGTTCGCAGAGCATTGTACAAATGAGGTAAAAACAATTTTCTGTATAATTTTTTTCTATATCCCGACGTGGCCTGGAGAAAATCTAAACAAATTAGCATGCAGAACATGGCTTAAATAAAAAACAAGGCGAATTACAAAACGAAAATTCTCAAGCCATAAATGTTTTTCATACTTTTTTCATTTTATTACTTGTTGGGAATATTATAAATTATCATAATATAGCAGTAAAAACAAGCTAAAACGTTCCAGCAATTTTCACTAAGAGAAACCCATTACGTTTAGATGGAATAAATAAGATTAAAGAACGTTAATGTTTCCAGCGAGCTTATAAACTTGCCCAAGAATCGAGAAAAATTAATTCCTTAACTGTTATTTTCAAGTAATTTTTCAAAGTGGGTTCCAAGATAAATTTTTTCCCACCTTGTGCACGTCCGAGCAAACAGCGAAGTTTAGATAGGATCCGCATTATTTCTAAACCACTTAAAGTTCGCAAGCACCGAAACTTTTTGTAAGAACGCATCATTTTATTACAAATTTTATGTTTCTTTTCCATCTTATCATGTTCCGGTCGGACTTGTAATTAGATTCAAGCTTGAAAATCCCTACAGGGATACAAATTTCTGCAATTACGTCGCTGCGCCAGCGCCGACTAAAATTGCGATTTGCTGCATTTACCGGTATAAATATCACTCATGAGGGATTAAACAGTGGAATCGGACTGCAATTAATATCTTTGGTTTACGGTCCAAATAAACTAGTGTTCGAGTGACTTACCGGTTCTGGGCACGTAGAGGTTGAGATAGAGGCAGTCTTCGCTTTCATTGGCAAGTAGAGGCAGGAGTTTCTCCAAGTAGAGCAGTCTTCCTCTTGGGAATTCCAGCAGGGCTTCCGACCTATTTCCTATGTCGGGAGGACGCTGTGGACACACAGCACCAAAGCGATCCGCAAGACGGGTATTTTTCCATAGCGAAGGCGTCACTGGAGGCATATACCTGAAAAAGACATAAAAGACATAAATTTATATGAAAAATTTAGGAATTTTTACACCCAACTTTGAAACATAATATAACCTAACCCTCAATTTTTTACCATGAAGGCGACACGAACACTGGAATATGCAAGGACCAAAGCCAGAGCCCTTACTTTTTCAACTGTAATTTCCGACTCGTAAACTTGATTTATATGCTAATTACTCATAGCTGCTCTCAAGTTTTTCTGTTTCAGAGTTGCAAAATACAAAAGAAAATCAGTTACGGCCTATATGAAATTTATAAATACATAAATTATTACAATTCCTGGTGTATTAACGCAAAAAATTGTACTACAGTATTTTATTTGACACAATGGGTAATTTCAGACTGCTAATTTCAATGCCATATTCTATTTTGGACTACCTCATGCTTAATATATTACACAAAAAAAGGTTGCTTTATTTGGTTAATTCAGTGATTTTTTACTTAGCGATTGTAAGCTAAAGAAGTATTGTAACAAGGTCCATCGAACAAATTGCTACTTTCATGTTTTCTCCACGTCCGTCCGGCTGTCTATTATGTCAGTTCTTAGTAAAGAGATATTCTCTGAAACTAATAGTCCGATTGTTGTCAAATTTTATACGCAAATTGAGAATATCGTGTAAATGGTAAAACGCTAATAAAAATGTTTCTAATCATCCTCACCAACACTTTGATACCGTGATTTCAAATTTTTCATAATAAATACCACATACATTTTAAGAAATTACATATTCCCATGCTGTGGGTTATAACTCCGCCATGAGTTTTTCCAAATTAGTTTCATTTAAATTTAAATTTTAAATGCGTTGTTTGAGAAGATGAAATATCCCCTCACTATAAATTGTCAAAGTTATTGTAATTATAGTAATGTTTTTGGGTCAGAAATAAAGAAAGAGCTTTTGCACGTGCCTTAAAATTTCCGGTAGGTATTATTTTGAGTTTATATGAATTTCAAGATTTTTAAAAGAGAACAAAATAGCCAAATTTTGTTAAGAGATATCACATATCAGTGTCTGAAAAATTCATAACTTTTATAAAACTCCACCAGGGGTATTTGAAACTTCCCGGAGGAATTACATACCTTCACCTCCGTGTTGGTGAACATTTTCTGGGAGTATTAGACACCTAGGACATTTCAGCTCTATGTGTGTGAGAATTTTCTAGAAAAATTAGAAGTAAGTGACATTTTCGTCTAATTCCATGGAAAAACAATTTTAAACAATTTTCTGTTACAGGTAAGACAGTCTGTGGTAAAAAATCAAGTCGGATTCATAATCCACAAGTGTATGAGTATGTTACTTAGACGTATTATAGACGTATAAGGTGAGACCTACGTTTTCGTAATCTAAGAGTCATCCAACTTTGGGAAAACATAGTTAGGCAGATGGTCTCTATAAAGTACTACGATCGGAAAGTAAAATAGAAGTTCCTTTATGAGAGTTATTAGTAATTACATTAGTTTGAAAATTCGTAAGTCATCCAAAGTGGTAATTCTTGAAGCGTGAAAGGTATAAAATTATAATTTAAGGGATTAGCATGTTTCTAAATATTTTTGGAAATTTTATTTTCATGCGGCAAAATATTTTATATGAAATGATTATATTTCTCATAGAATCGTTTAAGAAATAATACCAAATATATGAGGACCTAATTTTTTTAATTATTACACGTCGCCTGAGAACTTATTTGATTTACAGACCAGAGCTCACTCAAACCAATGTTCACTATAATAGTCCAGAAACGATTTGATCTATAAGCCTAGTAAAATTCCGCAAATTAACAATAATATTGGAATCGTTATCATGCAATAGATATTTTTTCGGAAAAGTGTAGTTATTTTTATCTTTTGGAAATGTTAGGATCGGCTTTGTATGAATTTTTATTTATTTATTTTTTTTATTAATCGATGTTTTAATTTTCCCATTTCTTGACTTTCGACTGTTTCGATTTTTCAGTTTTTCGATTCTTCAATTTTTCGATTTGTCAAGTTTTTGATCTTTCAATTTTTCTATTTTTTAAGGTTTCAATTTTTCAATTTACCTTTTTTGACTTTTCGATTTTTCAATTTTTCAATTTTTTAATTTCTCAATTTTACGTTGTTCCAATTTTTTTCCTCTTCAATTTTACGATTTTTAAATATTTGACTTTTGCAATTGTTCAAATTTGACTTTTATAAACTCTCGGTTTTTCGATTTTTCATTTTTTCAATTCTACAATTTTTCAATTTTTTAGGTTTTTGATTTTTCAATTTTTCAATTTTTCAATTTTTTAAGGTTTTGATTTTCCGACTTCACTTTTTTGACTTTTTGATTTCTCATTTTTTCAGTTTTTTCATTTCTCTGTTTTTGGATAATTCAGTTTTGAGATTTCTTAGTTTTTTCCTTCTTCAGTTTTTCTTTCATTTTTCAGTTTTTCGAAATATCAGTTTTGGAATTTTTCAGATTATTTATTGTTCAATTTTTCGATTTTACAAATTCTCAATATTTCAATTTCTCGATTTTCAATTTTTCACTTGAATTCTCCGATTTTTAAATATTGCGATTTTTCAATTAATCGATGTTTTCTTAACTTTCCACTGTTTTGATTCTCCAGTTCTTCAAGTCTTCAATTTTTCGGTTTTACAAGTTTCTAATTTTTCAATTTTCTATTTTTTAAGGTTTCGATTTTTCGCCTTCACTTTTTGATTTTTCGATTTTTCAATTTTTCAATTTTTTAATTTCTCAGTTTTTGAATGTTTCATTTTTGGAATTTTTCAGTTTTTCTTTCATGTTTCAATTTTTTGAAAGTTCAATTTTAGGATTTTTCAGTTTCTCAATTTTCCGATGTTTCAATTTTACGTTTTTCCATTTATGCTCCTCTTTACGATCTTTAAATATTTGGTTTTTGCAATTTTTCAAATTTAACTTTTTTTTAGGTTTTTGATTTTTCAATTTTTTATTTTCTTAAGGTTTTGATTTTTCGAATTGACTTTTTTGACTTTTCGATTTCTCAATTTTTCATTTTTTTAATTTCTTAGTTTTTGGATGTTTCGTTTTTGGTGTTTATCAGTTTTTCGAAATTTCAGTTTTGGGATTTTTTAGTTTATTCAATTTTTCAATTTTACAATTTCTCAACTTCCCGATGTTTCAGTTTTACGTTTTTCCAATTTTTCTCCTCTTCAATTTTACTATTTTCAAATATTTGGTTGTTGCCATTTTTCAAATTTGTTTTATAAACTCCCGGTTTTTCGATTTTTCATTTCATCAATTCTTTAAATTGTTAAATTTTTTCGGTTTCTGATTTTTCAATTTTTGTATTTTTTAAGGTTTCGATTTTTCGACTTCACTTTATTGACTTTTTCATTTCTCATTTTTTCAGTTTTTTAATTTCTCTGTTTTTCGATATTTCAGTTTTGAGATTTGTCAGTTTTTTCCATTCTCCAGTTTTTCTTCCAGTTTCTCGAAATACATATCAGTTTTGGGATTTTTCAGATTATTTATTATTCAATGTTTCGATTTTACAATTTCTCAATATTTCAATTCCTACAATTTTTAGATATTGCGATTTTTCAGTTAATCGATGTTTTAATTTTTCCCATTTTTTGACTTTCGACTGTTTTGATTTTCCAATTTTTCAATTCCTTAATTTTTCTATTTTTCAATTTTTCTGTTTTTTTAAGGCTTCGTTTTTCGACTTCACTTTTTGAGTTTTCGATTTCTCAATTTTTGAATTTTTAGATTCTCAGTTTTTGGACATTTCACTTTTGGGATTTTCCAGTTTTTCCATTCTTCAGTCTTTCACTTTTCAGTTTTTCGAAAGTTCGGTTTTGGAATTTTTTAATATTTGGATTCTTATTTGACTTTTTGCTTTTCGACTTATAGATTTTTGGATGTGTCGATCTTGTTACATTTTCGATTTTTCAATTTTTTGATTTAAAATTTTAGATGTTTAAATTTTTGGATATTTTAATTTTTCCGTTTTCAAAATTTTGGATTTTTCAATTTCTCGGTTTTTCGTTTCAGTCGTTCGATGTTTCGATTTTTCAAGTTTTCGAATTTCTTAAATGTTTCGATTTCTTAATCTTCCAATTTTTCTACTTTCCGGTTATAGATTTTCTGTTTTTCAATGTTTCGTTTTTTCAAATGTTCGATTTTCTAAATTTTAAATTTTTCGTTTTCTCAATGTTTTGATTTCTCGATTTATGGAGATTATATGGTTCGATTTTTTGATTGTTCAGTTTCTCGATTTATGAGTTTTTCAATTTATAATATTATATTTTGTCCTATTTCGGTTTCTCAGTTTTTCAATTTTTTCGTTTTTTCGTTTCCTTTATTTTTCCGCTTTTCCAATTTTTGAACTTTAACTTTTCGTTTATTCAATTTTGGCCCATTTCGGTTTCTTAATTTTCCAATTTTTTGATTGCTCGATTTATCGAGGTTTAGATGTTCCGATGTTTTGATTGTTCAATTTCTCGATTTATCAATAATTTTCAATTTTTAATTTTTCAATTTTTAGATTTTGGCCTATTTCGGTTTCCAAATTATTCGACCTTTCGTTTTCTCTATTTCTCAATCTTCTGATTTTTTGATTTCTCGGTTTTCCAATTTTTTACTTTTCGGATTTTTGGTTTTTCGATTTTCCAGTTTATCGATGTTTCGATTTTCAATTAATCCGATTTTTCAGTTTTTCGATTTTTTAAATTTAGAAATTTTGATTTCTCGATTTTTCATTTTCGGTTTTTAAATTTTTGACTTTTGAATTTTTCATTGTTTCAATTTTTTGATATTTCGAGTTTTCGATTTTCAGTTCTTCGATACATATTTCTATTTTTCAATTTTTTGAATTTTACATTTTTCGATTTCTTGACATCCTGGTTTATCGATTTTTAAAATTTTTCGATTTTTAGATTTCCCGCTTTTTCAAATTTTCGGTTATTTTAATTTTTCATTTTTTTTCTCAGTGTTAATATCATACATAAAAAATGTATCGAAGGTGACCCC